TGAGAGACACACATTCATGTGCTCATACAGCTGAGGTGTGTAATAAGCTATACTATGCAGGTTGTGAAAGAAAAACATTTACCCAGTGATGAAATTGCTGCAGAACACATTTTCAGCACATAGCCCATCATTAAGTGAGGTGACCATGCTTAGAGAGTATAATGAAATCATGACAGGTGGGAAATCATGACTTGGTGTCTTGAATATTTGATATGTCTTAAATAGAATCCATTTGCTTGTAGGTTAATATAATTTAACTTTTAAAAATGCTTTTAGTGTTTTGGGCTTTTTGTTTGTTTTTGTTGAAATAGAGTCTCACATAGCCCAGACTGGTCTCAAGTTCACGTGTAGACTGAGCACCTATCACCTTAAGCAGTGGATCCTCCTGCCCCTACCTTCCAAATGCTCAGCTAATTGGATTCCAGGGTTCAAACACGCATGCTAGGTAGCACCTCTACCTACTGAGTTCCATCCCCCCATTGCTATTTTGGAGATAGTATCTCACTGTGTAGCTCAGGATGGCCTTGAACTCACTGTAATTATCACACCCCCACCTACTGAGTGCTGTGATTACTGTCACAAGCTACCACACCTAGCTTCATTTACCTGTTAGCAATGAGTGGCTTGGAAAATGCCAAAATTGTGCTAGTGTGCTCAGGAACAAGGAGTCATCAGTAGCATAGATCTGGCCCTCCTGGTCACTTTATCCAAAAGAGGCCTTCATCAACTTTTTTTTTTTTTTTTTTTTTTTTTTTTTTTTTTTTTTTTTTTGGGTGTTTGGAGACAGGGTTTCCCTGTGGCTTTGGAGGCTGTCCTGGAATTAGCTGGTCTCTGTGACCAGGCTGGTCTCGAACTCACAGAGATCCGCCTGCCTCTGCCTCCCGAGTGCTGGGATTAAAGGTGTGTGCCACCGCCCGGCCACCAACTTCTTTTCTATTTTATTTTTCTTTAAGCAGTTATCATTGTGTGCCATGGTGTTAATACTTGCCTTAGTCAAATTTTATCTGCTGGGTTATAAATATGATTCAATTCTCCAGGCCATAACTGGGAAGCCCATAACTACCTACAAGTCTATCTTGAGAAGATCTAACCCCTCTCTTGGCCTCTGTGGCTCATACACTCATGTGCACATACTGACACACACACACACATACATATACTGAAATAAAAAAAAATCCTTAACCCATTTAATAAACCAAATAAAATATTATTTTCCCCCTTTTTTGTGTCTCAAGTATATAGAACATACTGAGTTCATTATCAGTATAATATATTATAGTTCATTATATGATAAATGCTTGCCGAAGAACTAAGCAGTAGGGTTTATGAAGAAGTTATTAAAATAGAACAATATACAGGTTTAAATCTTACATAATTTTCTATACAAACTAATAAGTAAAACTCTCTGAATTTAACAAAGGAAAAAATGAAACCATCATCATATTCTCATGACCAAGGCTGATTGGAGTAAATAATTTAATGACAGATCCTTGTTAGCATTCATCACTAGCCATAGACTCCCCCAACACAAGCAACAGTGGGAGCTTCTGTAGCCTGATTCACATGCACTGGCCTTGCCAGTGAAAATTAAAACTATTAGTTATATCCATTTCTATGACTATCTTAAAATTGACTAATTTCTCTCATTGCTCGTGTTAATAATTTGCTTTTCAACTCCCACTAGACTTCCTGGTTATTAAAATCTAATGAGGACTGGGGATATAGCTCAGTGGTAGGGCTTGCCTAGCATGCACAGACACTGTTTTTGATCTCCAGAGCTTAAAAGAAAAAGAAAAATTAACCCCTTGTCTGCTTTGTGTCTCTGCACCAGTGTTTCTCCTTTTTCTTTTTCCTCTTACAGATCCCAAATGACACCAACCCCTCCTGCACTGCTGCCTGCCTGTCATAACCATCACAAGACAGGAGCCACTCTCTCAGGGGGAGAGCAATGCCTGGGCCAGCATCCCTGGGTCCTGTTGCCTGAGGGACCTGGATGTTTGATAAGCACTAAGGATGTATGATTCAGAAAGGCACTGCTGTGAAACTGCTAAGAAGTCAGTGCCTGCTTGGTCAGTCAGAGTGGTATCCTAGCCCTGTGAGAACAGGGTGAAATCCCGTGTGGATGCTGGAATGCCCTCTTAAACAGGCAATCTGACCTGCAGCCCGCATGCTGAATGTATCCCAGCATGGAGAGGAATGAAGCTCAACATGTTTGCTCTGTACTTACCACCATCACACTGCAATGTCAAAAGATTGGACACCCGTGCTCCAAATTGTTTTTTTTTTTTTTAATGCACCTCTAAAAATTGCTGTGGAATCTTGGCAGGATAGAAGGCACTAAGGCAAGTCATACTGCTCCAAATGGAGCAGCCTTGTCCAGTGTGGCTTCCCTCCACCCACCAAACTGACATCGATCCATTCCACTGTTATTACTAAGTCTATCTGTGTTCATACAGAATTTATCCTTCATGAAACTAACAGTGTTAAAAGGGGGACATAGTTAGACTATTAAAAGAAACTCTGGCCTCCAGTAAAGTTATGTGCCAAGGCTGGAGAAATGGCTCAGTGGTTGAGGACTTGCTGTTCTTCCAGAGTATTCAAGCATCTTTTTCCAGCACCCTGGTCAAGCAGCTCACATGCACCTGTAACTCCAGTTCTGACACCCTCCTCATGTGACATGCACCAGGCTGGTCTCAAATATACTAAACTTAGTTTTCAGCAGAGGATGACCTTGAACTCCTGATCCTCCTACCTCCACTTCCCAAATGCTGGGGTTACAGGTAAATGCTATCCATTAGCCTTGAGGTATTTGGTTTGTTTGTTTGTTTGTTTGTTTTTGGAGAGGGGGCTTGATGGGGTGGGGGGAGGACAGGAGCAAACTTTGTAACCCCAGCTGACCTGTAACTCACTATGCAGTCCAGGCTTACCTTGACTTCATGAGAGCCACTTGCTTCTCCCTCCTAAGTGCTGAGATAAAATGCATGCATAGAAGCCTTTAAAACACTGTTGTGTTTAACTTAATAAAGTATAAAAGCAAATCCATAGCTGTCACCTTGAAGGAAATAAGAGAGAGTTGACTCTGGAGTGCCATTGAGTGACCCTGGTCCAGGATCACAGATTTAGGTTGACTCCAAATTCTATGTTCCTGAAGTTTTGTAGTTTTGCAGAACCAACAAATTTATAGATTAAGGCAAGTTTATAATACATTTATGGGCCCATCAGAGAGGTGGTTACAGCAAGATGGGGAAGTTTTTCTATTGGCCTCAGAGCTTCTCTGATGGGATTCTTAGCTTTTGGAAGCTAGTGTTGAGCCAAGTTAATAGAGTCCAAAATGTTTTTATCTATTAGTCATAAGACATTTAATAGAAAGAGGTGAGCAAGGAGTGACTGCATGTTCAGGGGGGCTAGAATTAGCCCAAGATAAGATAAATGGCCTCTGGACCTGCAGTGTTCCGATCTCTCCACAGCACTGAAATTCTAATCTTTCTCTGCAAGCACAACTTCTTTCCTGGAATTATTGTTCACCAAAGAAAAATTTAAAACCTGCAATCTTTCCCATTTTACCTGCTATTCATTTTCTTCTAATCCCAGTTTTCTTCAGTGGTTTACATTTTTAGTCCCTCTGCCATTTCTACCTGTTAGAGCCCCTTAGGAACAGTGACATTCCTTTCCTTAAAGATTCATGGAGCTGCCTTCCAGCCTCCGTGAGCAGCAGTCCTTAGCTCCTTCTTAGCCACAAGAAATCAAATTGTTTCTCCACACACCACAAAAGTTGTTACTGGTAAATGTTAATGGTTGCCATTGCAAGATGTCTTTGGACAGAGATAAAGATTTCTGCAAAAAGGACCCAAGGGAAATGCCTCTGATTCATGGGTCCTTGTAATTGTTGGGTCTGAAAACTACTACATCATAGTTTTACTTGATGGAAACTTATCAAAACATGATTTGATGAATACAATTTCTCTGACACAGGCTTCTTTTCAAATTAAAGGCTTAGGTAACTTTACTGTTGGACACCTAAATAATTAAAGGTTTTCAGCAACGTTAATCTTACTTCTGTATGCCAGAGATACCATTGAATCTCAATGTTCATTTATGTTTGAATAGAAGTGTATGCTTTAGTTCAGTCAGATAACTCTAAGGAAATCCTGCAGAATGGGTAGTTTATAAACCACAGAGATTAATTTCTCACAGTCCTTGAGGTTTGGAAATCCAAGATCAGGTGGAAGCTGACTCAGTGTCTGCTATTCTAATAAATATCACTTTGTTACCATGTCCTCAAAGAAGGGGCCAGGCATTTCTCTGATTTTTTCATGCAGGAGGATGGAAACTTGGGTTACTTAGCATCTTTCAAGCCACAGGATGCTTAGAAGGACTCTGTTTCAAAAACAAGCAAACAAGAGCTATGTACATTGTCTTGCACTTCTAAAACCATGCTAAGAGAAATATAGAGATTTTTAGAACAAAGAAAGTGTGGATAGCTGGTTCATAGCTGGAGGTGGAAGTTAGAGGAAGCCTACTCCGATAGTGGCCTGAAGCACAGAGCTCTATTCTTGCTGTTGAGAACAACTCACTCTAAGACAGAACTCCCAAGGACCCACATGCTTTTGGAAGTAAAGGTGAAGAGGGTCTTAAAGCCAGAAACACTGGTGGAAATTGTGCTTGGACAAGGAAAAGGGGGGAAATTGTGTCATTATATTTCAATTTCTAAAAAGAAAAAAATGAAAAATTCATAGTTTTTGTCATGCATTGAAGAAAAAAACTTGGTAAAAATTGATAGATATCCAGAAAGTTGATACCACCCCAGATTTTTTTTTTTTGGTTTTCAAGGCAGGGTTTCTCTGTGTAGCTTTGGAGCCTATCCTGGCACTCGCTCTGGAGACCAGGCTGGCCTCGAACTCACAGAGATCCACCTGACTCTGCCTCCCAAGTGCTGGGATTAAAGGAATGTGCCACCAACGCAGGGCTCACCCCAGATTTCTTCACCATTTGTTTCCCAGAATGCTGCAGAGCCCTGTCTGGAGTCCATGGTTAGCTAAGAAACACGAGGAGCTCCGATAGCCATGAAGGTTCCTCCAGTGAAGACATCATGTGGAGCAGCTGAAAAATAATCCCTTTAAAGGATGAGACCCTCTGTGTTTCCTATCACTGTATGCTTAGCCTCTTCCAGGTAGCTCAGGCTGGCCTCAAACTCACTAGGTGACTGAGGTTGACCTTGAATTCCTGATCCTCCTGTCTCTGCCTCCCTTATGCTGAGATTATAGGAATGCATCACCACACTTAGTTTATGTGGTGCTGGGAACTGAATCCAGAGTTTCATGCTTGCTAGTCAGGCATCCACCAGCTGTAAGCAGACTTTTCTTTCTGGCCTGTCAATTCCCAAAAAATTGCCACAGAGACTTAATATTAATCGTAAATGCCAGCCAATAGCTCAGGCTTACTACTAGCTAACTCTCACAGTTAAATTAACCCATATTTCTTGTCTACTCTCTGCCAAGTGACTCACGGCTTGTTACTTCATTTTCTACATGTTCTGCTTCCTCTGTATCTGCAGGCATCTCCTCTGACTCTACCTTTCTTCATTCCAGCATCCTTAGTTTGGTGGTCCTATCTATACTTCCTACCTGGCTACTGGCTAGTCAGCTTTTTATTAAACCAATTCAAGTGACAAATCTTTACAGTGTACAAAAGTATTATTCCACAGCAACCAGCTGAGGTATATCCACAGCTCCAGCAATTTCTTTCTTAATTCCATATAGTTGTCTTAATTACCTCTCTGGTCTCTGTGATCAAGGATCTGATAGAAGCAACTTAAGAGAGGAGGCTTTCTGTTGGTTCCTCGTTCAGGGCTCACAGTCCATCACAACGGGGAAGGTAAGTTGGCAGGACAGGTCTTGTCCGTGTTGACCAGAGTATGAGGTTGCTTCCTCAGATGCCCTCACATCAGGAAGCAGAAGTTGTTCAGGCTAGAAGTGGAGCCAGATAGAATCTCAAGGCTTCACAGCCATGCCTCATGTCCAGAAGGTTCCACAATCTTCCAACCAGTGCCAGCCTATGGGAGCATTTTATAGCCACACTATAACCATGATTACTTTTGTCTTCAATGTAAAACTGGTTTCCTTTGGTAGTGTTTGAGGCATTTAGCACTTTTCTTCCTTCCTTCCTTTCTTTTCTTTTTTATTTTGAGACAGTAATGTGGGAAATTACCAATATGGAGCCAGGTAGAAATACAAGGGATTTTAATTGGGAAAACGCCTTACTTACGGAGCGACCTAGCCAGCCGGCAGGGCAGCAGTCTCTAGAGCAAGCCGAAAGTGAAACTGAAACCAGAAACCAGCCACCTGACCAACTCTCACTCTACGTCACCCTGACCATGCCCTCGCAGGCGTGGTCAGGCACACCTTTAGCCAGCCCCTAAGCGGGCGTGGCTACAGCTTCCCCTATAAGACAGGGTTTCTTTGTGTAGCCTTGTCTACTCAGTAAATTTCTTTGTAAATCAGCTTGATCTCAAACTCACAGAGATCCTCCTGCCTCTGTCTCCCAAGTCCTGGGATTATAAGTGTGTGCCACCACCATAGGCTTTTATGCCTGGGAGCTCCTATGGAATTCAACTCCCCATGCTTGTAAAGCAGGTACTCTACTGGCAGAGCCAGCTCCCCAGACTCTAGTATGTGGTGTTTGAAATTACTGAGTGTGTGGTCATTTGTTGGGCACCAACAGAAAACACAGTAACAGCCAGTCATCACTAGTCCTGGATCCCAACCCTCTGTCCCAAACCGAAAGGTGTCAAGGGGCTGGCTGCTTTTGGGTAGTGAATTGGTTAGTGAGGTCTCTGATCTAATCAGTAGGGTAATTCATTGATGGATTCATAATATGATAACATTATTTGAGGGGTGATGGATTGTTGGGGATGGGTCTCATTGAGGGAAGTATATCATTGCGGGTGTATGCTTGGTCCTGGCTTCTGTGTTTCCACCTCTCTGCTTCCCAGCTGTCAACAGAGGAGCATCTGTGTTCCATTCATGCCCCATGCTATACTTTCTCTATCTTGATCCTTGGCCTCACCATAGCAAAGGAGTCAGGCTGTCATGGACTGAGACCTTTGAAACTGTGAGCCAAACAAACCTTTCTTCCTTTTAAGCTATTTGTACCAGGTATTTTGTCATTGTAATACACAAGCAACTGACAGACCTACATCCTCCTTTCCTCCCTTCCTCTCTCTATCCTTCCCCTTTTCCATTCCTTCCTCTCATTTATTCTCTTTTCAAAAAAATGTGGACACTGATGACCTTTCCTTAGGAGAGGGAAAAGGAGATGACTGTTGGTCAAGTTCTGTAGCTAGAACTTGTCACTATTATCTGTAACTAAAATATCCTTTTCCCTCCCTCCCCCTCCCTCCCTC